TTGTACGTTTATTTGTGTTGTTCATGTTATACTTTGCGCCCTCTATCTATTTCTGTATTTTTTTTTCTTTTCTATTTATTCTTAGCTATAAGACGATTCTGTTGATTTGAATTTACCTTTTCCTTTCTGTTCTTTCATCTTTTCCCCCACTTCTTTTTGATAGTGATACACATTGTCATATAACTTTATTTGTTATCATTGATTTTCTTTCCTTTCTGTTGTTTGTGTATGTACTGTTATGTCCTTTCGTTCTCACTCATCTAGTCGTAATCGAATGGAATCGTCACGTGGTTCAAGTGGTAAAGCACAAAGTCGCCATTATCGTAATATTCGTTTAGAAGAACAAAATCATGATTATCGACGTAATTATCTTCCATTTACTATTCCATCATCGTTTTACAATATTGTACATGTTCATCGATTTACTACCAATGATACTATTTCAACATTAATTAATCATTTCGAATCATGTTATAGATATTCAATTGATACAGAATCAGATCGGTTTACATATGATTTATCTCTTATTCAAGTTCATTCGATTCCTCAACATTTACCATCATTTATTGTATTATTTGAAATTAACCATCTACCTTCATCAGATTCATCATTAATGGGTAAAATTAAATTATTATTTAGTCTTTTATTTCGTTTAGGAAATATTATTTTTTCTTGGGGATCGATGTCTGACGAATTAAAATCTGCTATTCAAATGAATTTATTTACATGGCCAGTGTCAGCATTATGTATTAATTTACAAGATGAATTTCCTGGTTGGTATCGAAGGGCACTGCCTCCGTGCGAGGCATGTGGCTCGATTCAATCCTCGAACAAGGCCATGTCTTCAAAATCTCGATGCATTTGTACAAGCAATTTCCCTTATGTTAAATCAACAGACAAGTGGTCATTACAAAATGCGATCCGTTATACTATTAATCGTTTTCTCGATAAATCATCAACAAAAAAAATTGGAATATTATGTTAGATCCAAACTATTCACCATTATCATCATCTGAACGGCGTAAACGAATTAATTATGCAATTTATGATTGCTTTGCCGTTACCTTATTACATCAAGCAATTTATGATAAATGGTCGTTAACTCAACTTCGTGAAACAGAATTAATATCTTTATTTACTTCGAATGCTCCACCTCATTCTTCATCATTATCTTCATCAACATTATTGGAAAATATTTCTGAAGATGAAAATGAAACAAAATCAACATCATTATCTATTTCAAATGCTCTACTTCATTCATCATTACCTTTATCAAATTTATTAGAAGACATTTCTGACGATGAAAGTGAGGATGATGAAGTATTTATTTCATCTCTTTCTAGGCATCATGATACAGATCAATTAGTTAATACAACTCGGCATGTTGAAGTTTTTTCTACTGCAGTTCCTGAAAATGATGTTATAGAACTTATTCCATCTGATCAAGAATTTTCTTCTAACGAACCACCTCAACCACGTCGCAAATGTCGATCAACAACAGCAAGAATACGTCGTAATCGTAAACGTAATATGGTCAAACGTTCACATCGTGATCGACATATCATTTATCGAAACGTCTATCATCGATTTACATTAAAACAAATTAAAAATATTCTTCGTACTCGTGATGTTCGATATGTTCATCCAAAACTCGATAAATCTCCACGAATTTTATCAATTGGAATGAAAAAATCATCTTTAGTGGACTTATATTTTGATCGAATACCCGGTGATTTATTTGATAAATTTCATTATCAACAATATCGTCGACAAGGACATTAACAAAAAAAAAAATATTTTTTTTCTTATTCTTGTTATTATGTTGTTTTTCTTTTTCTTTTAGTTAAAGTTTTTTTGTTTGTTGTTGTTTGTTTTTTCTCATTTGTTCGTGGTGAAACATCATTATTATCACAAGTTTTACATGATGATATTATAGCAGATTTATATATAACAAATCGATTAACAACAACACTTTTATATATATTATCAAATGATGCAACTGTTTCAAGCAAATTATCATTTATCATCAATTATTCATATGCAATATGATATTACATTAGATTCATCTTATACTTATGGATCAATATATATATATAATTTTCAAACTGAAGAAATATTAAAACAATTAACATTAACATCATCATCATTACCTATTTTATCATTATCATTACGCTCTGATGGTCTTTTTCTTGCATATATATCATCAAGAACAGTTACAGTAGTTGATATTATAACTGGTACAGACGTATTTACAAAAAACATGTTTATTTGATGAACAATTATTTAATAAATTATTTTATTCATCACAAATGTCAACTATTGGTTTATTATATGGTTCATGTGATGTATGAAATTTAAGAAAAAAAAAATTAATTATATATTAAAAATATCGGATAATATAATACTAATGGTGAAGCTATACATTCTTATGTATTTGCAAGTCGACATCAATTATCAATCTAGTCTTTTTTGATCAAGTAATAAACATAAAACAATGTTTAGTAAAGATATATTTATTTTCGATATTTTTTGTTTTTTCTTTTTTCACAAGAGTTACTCTTTTCATTTGTTATTTGATCCTTTTTTTCTGAAAGTTTTTTTTCTGAAAGTTTTCTCTCATTGTTCAAAAACTTTCTTGGGGGCTAAGGGTGTTAGGACCTGACCCCTATTGTTATTTTATTGTTGTTATCGTCTAT